CTTTATTTCTTTCTTTCTCTCTTTCTCTCACACACATAATGATCTGATAGGTTAACCCCTTTGTTTCCGTCTCCATTTCTGTCTCTGTGTCTCTCACCCCGTGTGGGTTTGTTTTGCTGATGTGTGGCTGGAGGCGGTGCGTTTCTCTGCTCTATTGTCTTGATCTCTTTAAATGATTTCTAAACACTCGGTTTGGCGGCATTGAAGCGCTTTTAATGGAAATTCATATATCATTTTAAACAAAGACAGGCCGGGCTTTTAAATCAACTCTGTGTGCCTCAATGTTTAACGTTTTTGGGGGAGTGAACCTCTCTCAGATTGGTTATATTCTCAGAGTCAGCGTATGTTTTCACAACCAAATCAGCCCAATGTTTTTTCATGAGATGTTTAGGAGAAATCACTTATATATTCATATACATTATCATGTCAGAAAGCTTATAAAGGACCATTTCTGTCTGTAAATGTTCTTGAGTTGCATTCAAAAGTTTCATTATATATATATATATATATATATATATACATGCCAGGGGGCTAAACAGTACATGTTTATAATTTTTGGTAAATATACATCATAATTTGATATAATAATAATAATAGTAGAAAACATTTAAATTGATTGATGGTCACAAACAACTTTAATGTCTCAATCTATTATCATGCTGTTCTCTGTGGTGAACCTATATTAAATATATCAGCATGCAGTTGTTTGTTCCTCTCAGTTTATCACAGTGTATTAGAGGTTTCAGGATGGTGAGATGTGTCAGATGACCACAGTGACATCATCAGTGATATCTGTAATGAGTGTTTCCTCTTTATTTGAGATTTATGAGTATGAGAACAGGTGGCCGTCAGAGGAAGCCGCTCATTTGCTGTTAGCAGATCAATATTGATCCGCACGGATATCTCCGAGCTAACAGACCCGTGTTCTCTTCCACATGGATCGCACCGCAGCTGTGTGTTTACTGTGGTGTGTGTGTGTGCTGGACTCAGGTGAAGGCAAGGATGTTTTCATTTCAGTGACTGATAAAGATCTCCACACCTGAGACCGCAAAAAAAAAAAAAAAACACTCGTACTATCAACAGTTCATTTTTTTTTAAATTTCAGTTATGCATAATCATGCATAAATGCATAAAATATGCATTAACACATAAATGAAACAGTAATGTTTGTGCATTTATGCAGGGCAGCCAGTGTAATGCCACATTTTTTTTTATTCAGTAAAATTGAATGAAATGCACACACAGTTGCTAAAAATAAAAATTGGTTGGACCAACATTTTTTATTTTATTTTATTAATTTAATGTTAAGTACGTTAAACATACTAAAATAAATTGACCAAACCAACTAAACTGTGTTGAGCCATGAACTCAATTAAATTGTGTGTAACAACAATTCAGGAAGGGTAATGAATTATTTTTTTTAGTGTATTTACATAAAGGTGGAAAAGGACTTTCATCATATACTGTATATATATATATATATATATATATATATATATATTATTATTATTATCATTATTAAGACTTATATATATATATATATATATATATATATATATATATACAGTATATATTATTAAGACTATTATTATTAAGTATTATTAAGACTATTAAGTAATTTTACATTGCTTATATCTACTGACTCAATTATGCTTCAGTTAAAATTTGTTTTTTTTCAGGTTGGTTGAATAATCAGTAATTTATTTTTTAATTTCAACAAAACCAGTAGATTTTACCGCACGAAGTACATTTTCGAAGTTGAACTGACAATTATTTTTTTTATTTTTTTGCAATTTTTATTATACACAATATTTACAAAACAAATATTTAAATTGAATTTGATAATCATAACATTACAACGAGCTTTATTGATCATCTCAAAACTGCCAAATATTGTCGGACTGATCCGTGTGGTCTGTAAGTTTCAAACTTAAAAAACGTGTCTAGCTTTACTAGGTAAACTCTCTCTCGTCTTTCACAAGTTAAGCTGCAGTTCTCCACAGGTGTGCCGATAATCTCTGCGAACAGACGGGTTGTGTGTGTCCTACGGTGTGGCTCAAACCCAAATGGCTGGGCTTCCAGTTTCTCCCACGTTCCCTCTTCCCGACTCCTGGGGAGGAGACAGGTGTACGTGGAAGGGGAAAATGTGGCATATGATTTTTCAGTCAGGCATTAAGAGAGGCAGCCTGAAGGACCCGGAGCGGGGCTCAGGTGCGCTCGCTAACCACAAGATTTGTGTGTCCGTGCGTGTGTGTGTGCAGAAGTGTGTCGCACCTGTGACTGCTGCGCTTTCGGTTAGTGTGGCAAGATGACGGTTTGTTTGAGTCTCAGTCACTAGAAAAGCTCATTTAAACTACACAACACAAATTTAATTGTCCTTCAACAGTTTATTTTCATTCTTAACGCAAAATAGAATAGCTTTTTTCCCTTGACTTGAAATATTTTCACTTGCAATTGTTCTTTACAATGCAAACATTGTTTTTCTTTTTCCCATTTCCAAGCATACATTTTCGTTTTATTTATATTTTATATATTGTTTAGTGGTTTGATTTTTAATAAAAAAAAAAAAATGATGCACTACTACGCAGTATAAGTATATTTCATAAGAATAAGTAAACAATGATGCAAGCAATCAACATAATAGCATAGACACAGCATTTGAAAGGATTTCAGGATAATTGCGCTCAACTCTTCTGCTATGTGTCGGACTCGTTCAATATGTCGTCTGTTTATCGCGAACGCACAAATGAAGCGCTATAACAATCCCATTAAAACCCGCCTTACTTTTCATTGTTAAGTGGAGAGGCCCATTTAAAACCTATACGGCGTAATCCCTCACGCATTCACTGCATTAGTTTCCCATGAATAAACATTAAACAAAACACGCTTTTCACCCAGAGAAGCCCCGTCTATGAAAAGTCGTCTGGTAAGAAGCGTTTCATGACCTTTGACAACTCGATCTGTGTGGGTCTATTAGCCGCCTTTGTAAAGGCGTTTTCAGCGGCCTGATATACTCGAAATGAGGCCGATAGCTTCTCTCACGGCTCTTTCAGATCAACAGCACCTCTGATCTACGACTTTTGGGCCTGGTGGTCCATTGAAAAGCAGAAAGTATGCGTTTAGCTCTTGACGGCTTTTGTGAAGCCTAGTTAGCGAGCGTGAAATGGCCCGATTCTCCATTCAACGATCAGCCTTTCTTTCCCGAGGACAAAACCCGCTTCATTTGCACTTCAGCTGTCGGGACTCCACGGTTCTTAAACAAGGGCAGAAAACATCTGGTGTGCACCAGAAAGGAGAGGATGGGTTTAAGGGTTAAGATTAGAAATCTACGCCACTTTTAGAGGTTTGGGCTCAATTGGATTGTCTGACATGAATCAATTGCATATCAATGCATGAGACACATTTGTGTGCAATATCCAAATTCATTCGTTTTGCATTTGTGCTTCTGTTAATGATTGTATAAACGATGCACTTGGTGTGGAAACTAAGATGTGAACGAGTTCTTTCTGTGATTTTATGTCTGACCGAATGAGATGCCATTGGGTTTGAATGGAAATCTTGACTATTATTACAAAGAAAATGAGTGCTGTGTCAATCTCTCCAGCTCATTGTCTCTGGCTCTGGTTTTCAGACAGTGCAGAGAAGAACGTTCCTGCCATGCCCGGATCCCCAGTGGATGGAAAGACTCATTCCAGACCAACCGTCTCCGTCATGCCTCCTCTTCCCTCCATCAATCCCAGCGGACCTCGTCCGGCGGCGTTCTCCACCACAGCACGTGAGACTCACTCAAACCCGCATATTCTCATTGCCATTGGCGTCCCTTACTACCATTTTCACAGGATTTAAATTTTTTGCATGCATGGAAATCCTAAAAAACTATTGCAAAACTATAGCAGTGATGAATAAACCAGAAGTGAAGTCATGTGACAGCAATGTGGCACACTGGTTGTTTGATATTTCCAATGTGGAATCATGCATTTTTGTTCCGTGTACTATTTTTAGTCGGTATATAGTGTATATATTGAGAAGTATTCACTCCTAATGATAAAGTAGATTCGCTTTTTGGCGAGTCTACTCAAAATGTATTAAAAGCTGATGAATCGGAGACTGAAGCTATAGTTATTAAATGTATATTGAACTATAGAACAAAAAAGAATTTCAATGCAATTTAGTTCATATTTACACAAACAGCATGTGACAGCATTTGTGCATGTGATAATACTCTTAGTACATGTCACCAGCGAAGTACATAATTTGAGTGCATAGTTATTAAGCAATTTACCCTGTTAAGAGTCTTTATTTATGATTTTTGAGTTAACCAGTAAAACTGTGGCTTGACATAAACAACAATTCACAAATTCTTTTAACTTGTAGAAAAATGTATGTAGTGAAAAACGGGGTATTAAATATTAAAAATGTTTGTTAAATTGAAATAAAGCTACAATAGAATTATGACATGAACTTTTAAGAATTAAGGAACTGGAAATAAATAAATACTAAAACTGGAAGAAGAAAAAAAATGAATAAACTTTCAACTAAAATTAAAACGGAAAACTACTACTAATAATAATTACTAAATAAAACTAATAATAAAAATAAATAATTGTAAGAATAGCTATAAATATAAAACGATAAGTATATAATACTAAAATAGTGTGTTTTCAGGTCATTCCTTACATCGCAAGTCTAATAATCTCATACTCTGTTCATGCAGTGACCAATGGGATCAACCATTCCCCCCCGATGCTCAACGCCGTTCCGTCTCCGCCTCAGCGCTACAGCAACGGGCCGTCGTCATCATCTTCCTCTTCACTGGCCAATCAGCAGCTTCCGGCGACCTGTGGCGCGCGCCAGCTGAGCAAACTGAAGCGCTTCCTCACCACTCTACAGCAGTTCGGCAATGACATCTCGCCTGAGATCGGGGAGAGCGTCCGAAACCTGGTGCTCGCTTTAGTGGTACGTCTATTACATACATATTACAGGTGAAACTCGACAAATTTGAATATTGTGCAAAAAGTATTTCAGTAATTCAAATTAAACGGTGAAACTAATATATTTAGTATACATATGCATGATTATACTTTTCAGAGGGCTGACATTTCTGTATTTAAAATCCTTTTTTTTTTACATTTTCTGAGATTTTGAATTTGGGGTTTACATAAGCTGTCAGCCATAATTATCAAAATTAAAACTTTTGCACAATATTCTAATTTTTTACGTTTCACCTGTATATGGTTCGATCGAATGCGAAACGGGTTTACTAGCGATGTCTTTTTTTTTTTTTTTCCCCATAGAATTCCACCGTCACCATTGAAGAGTTTCACTCCAGACTGCAAGAAGCCACAAACTTCCCCTTAAGGCCCTTCGTCATACCATTCTTAAAGGTAAATGGCCAATAATGGAATAAATTGTCATTAACTCGCCCTTGTGTCGTATCCCAGCCTCCCATTAAAGGATTAGTTCACTTTTAAAAAAACTTTTGCTGATAATTTACTCACCCCCATGTCATCCAAGATGTCCACGTCTTTCTTTCTTCAGTCGAAAAGAAATTTTTGTTTTTGATGAAAACATTCCTGGATTTTTCTCCATATAATGGACTTCAATGGGAACCAAACGGTTCAAAGTCCAAATTAGAGTTTCAGTGCAGCTTCAAAGGGCTTTAAACGACACCAGACGATGAATAAGGGTCTTATCAAGCGAAACGATCAGTCATTTAAAAAAACTTAAAAAACATTTTAAAATTTTAAAAAACAACAAAGTTTAAGTTTTATAAGCTCAAATGGTCGCCTTGCTCATGTTCTGTGATGCACATTTGTGACTCTCCTGTTTGAAGTCGTTTGTCAAAATGAACGAATCTTTTTCCGAGTCAATTTGTTCATTTTGTTCGTTGAATCAACCATCAATGACTCGAAAAAAGATTCTTTCACTTTGATGAACGAGTTCGAACAAGAGAGTCACAAACGCTCATCACAGAACAGAGCAAGGCGAGCATTTGAGCTTATAAAACTTAAAAATTTTTTGTTTCTTGTTTTTAAATGACCGCTCGTTTCACTTGGTAAGACCCTTATTCATTGTCTGGTGTCGTTTAAAGCCCTTTGAAGCTGCACTGAAACTCTCATTTTGAACCTTGAACCGTTTGGTTCCCAATGAAGTCCATTATATGGAGAAAATCCTCGAATATTCGGAACGTTCAAAATGAATGTTCAACCACGTTTATTATTCTGCAAACATGGAATGTTACTTTTGAATCTTTTTTGGACATTCAAAAGAAGTTTCACATTTAAATAGATGTTAGACGAGTGTTCAACTAAAATGTTTCAGAAAAACACATTCCATGAACAATGTCTTATATTTCTATGTTTTAAAGACCTGCTGACTTCCTTGAAAACGAACGTTCTATTAACGTTACCGGAAGAACTGTCCTTGTTAGGCACAGTTTAGAGAGCGTTCCCTCAAAAAAAGCCAATAAAACACTCCATATGACAGCAGTGTTGGAGATATTAGTCAATAAAACATGTGAAGCTGCTTGAATTCAATGATTTTAAAGTGCCATGCATGAGAGGGATGCTGAACAGAGAAAGTGGAAGGTATCTTATATTTCATTTGGTGATTTATGAAGCCATCGGAGACTTCCGAGAATTCCAGGCGGTCGGAAGTGTGAAACACGACTATAAACCGTTGCAGGTTGTGTTTACGGGGCCCGCGTAACATATGGAGCTCGGCAGCGGTTAACACAGTTGTCCGGGAATATTTGCTGGCGCAAAACAAGAGAACGTGAATGACAGGCAGCATATGTGAGAGGAGGACAAAGTTAATCATGAACAGAGATGTTTGTCGTTCTCATAATAAAAACTAGAGATTCTTGTTCTCTTTTAGGAAACATTTGAAAGCATTCCAGACCCTTTTCTTCGGGGATCATGTTTAATAGACTCCATGAACACGGAATTGTTGTGATTATCGCCAGTACTAAATTATTTTGTGATTGTGATGGCATCATCATCAGTAAATATGACCAATATAACTAAAATCAAAATCATTTATATAATTAGTAGTTCACTTTTGAAAAAACTGTTGCTGATAATTTACTCACCCCCATGTCATCCAAGATGTCCATGTCTTTCTTTCTTCAGTCGGAAAGAAATTAAGGTTTTTGATGAAAACATTCCCGCATATTTCTCCATATAATGGACTTCAATGGGGACCAAACGGTTCAAGGTCCAAAAGACACTTTCAGTACAAACTGTTCAAAGGGCTTTAAACGATTCCAGACGATGAATAAGGGTCTTATCAAGCGAAACGATCGCTCATTTAATAAATAAGTAACATAAGTTTTATAAGCTTAAATGCTCGCCTCGCTCAGTAAACGTGCGATGCACGTTTGTGACTTTCCTGTTCGAACTCGTTCATCAAAATGAACGAATCTTTTTCCGAGTCATTTGGTTCGTTCAACGAACGAAACGAACGAATTGACCAATTGACTCGGAAAAAGATTCGTAGACATATTGGATGACTAAATAATCAGCAAAAGTTTTTTGAAAAGTGAACTACTCCTTTAATGAAAGCACATAAAATGCTGTGTGAATAATTTTTTGTTGAACTGGATTATTGAAATGATCAGATTTGGATTAGTCTGTTGGACTGTTTTTTCCGGTGTGTTTCACACGTCAGCTCTAGTCGGGCAGCATCTTTGACAGTATTTATGTATAAGAGGAACAAAAGGGGGCCTAACACAGAGCCCTGAGGAACTCCATAGTTAATAATTGTTTACACAGAGAGAATCCCGTCAATTTCGACCCTCTGAACTATCCCAAAGATGTGTAAATTACAATATCAGACTTATTATAAATTAGACTTTTACAAAAATGTAAAAAAAATAGACTGTTAGTTTATCAAACGAGTCCGTGCACAAGAATAAAAGTTCTAATTTTACGTCATCTTCGCAACAAACATTTATACTAGATAACTTTTTTTTTTAGTGGTTGTATTAAAAATAAGTACCTATATTTCAGAAACTGCCTTGGTTTCCCTTTTTGAATGATGAATATAGACTATTGATGCTTGCTGATAGTCGTTTCCTTACACACATTATGACATATGCTAGTTGACAGTCGCCTGTAGTCTTCGCGGCGTCACCGCTAGTTGTCTTGGTGTGTCCCGGTCTTTACTGAGAGCGAGAGATGATGTCTAAATGAATTTATGCTTTTGAAAGGGTTTACTTGAGAGAGTATTTTCCCCTTGTGTTTGCCAGATGGTTCTGATATTCTTCATCGGCTCACATTAGTAATCAATCTCACATGCTCATCATATAAGAAACGGAGCCCTGGGTCTGTTTTGTTTCATCTGGGCGATTGTTTCTCGTCCTCCTGTGGCTGAAGTGTTTTCATACGAAAGATTTATGGACTATTTTGACGAGATGTTGGTGAAAATTGGAGTCTGGAGCTTTAATAGCGAGCAGAACATGCAGTGATGCTGAGCAGACGCCTCGGGCTCAGGAGTTCTCATGCACATCGCGGCTCCTCCGAGTCTGTCCAGGAAGAAATCTTTTTGACCTTTATCTCCACTCTTATCATGAAAAATGCCAAAAATGTGGTGTTAATTGATTATTTTAGACCACTTAAGAAAATGCTTCCAAAGTGGGTTTGGATTTCAGCGTCTCAACTATAGACCCGATACAGTCCGCCAAAATAACCTTGAATTTAGTTACATGTCGTGAGAAAAAACGTGTGAGATGAATGATATTTCATCATGTAACCAAAGTCAACAGTGATTACAAGGTGTTTGGTTTCATTTCTCTGACATGCTAAAGTTGCCTAAAAAGAGGAATAAAAAATCATCTTTTGGATATTGGTCTTAATGCCTTAATTAGAAAAATGAGGAAAACTCCAACCTTCAAGGACACAAATTTTCTTTGTGAATGAATAATGTATCATGAATAAATAAATGTTTTTCCTTAAAATACAGGGTGCATAAGTCAGGGCACCCCTATGTTAAATTCCCATAGAGTCAGGCAGATTTTTATTTTTAAAAGCCAGTTATTTCATGGATCCAGGATAATATGCATCCTGATAAAGTTCCCTTGGCCTTTGGGATTAAAATATCCCCACATCATCACACACCTTCCACCATGCCTTGAGATTGGCATGGGGTACTTTCCATAAGATCATCTTTCAATGCAAATCAAACCAGCTATTAGGCTAACTGAAGTAAAACCATGCCAATCTCAAGGTGTGGTGAATGGTGTGTGTGATGATGTGGGGATATTTTAATTCCAAAGGCCAAGGGAACTTTATCAGGATGCATATTATCCTGGATCCATGAAATAACTGGCTTTTAAAAATAAAAATCTGCCTGACTCTATGGGAATTTAACATAGGGGTGCCCAGACTTATGCACCCTGTATTTTAAGGAAAAACGTTTATTTATTTATAATGCATTATTCATTCACAAAGAAAATTTGTGTCCTTAAAGGTTGGAGTTTTCTTCATTTTTCTAATTAAGGCATTAAGACCAATATCCAATCTTTTTAGGCAACTTTAGCATGGGTGTCCAAACTTTTTCACATCACTGTATTTTAGATGACTAGTTTGTTCTTGGGCGATGGTTAGATGTCTATTAAATTTTCACTGACTGTTCAAATTTTGCCTTGTTTTAGTCTAGACGTCTGGGCTGTGTTTGCATGGCTATTAGACGTCTTTAAACGCAAAATTGCTGGCTGGGTTTGATCCGATTCACCGTAATCTGAACGCAGTGTGTTCTCCACGCAGGCCAACCTGCCTTTACTGCAGAGAGAGCTTCTTCACTGCGCTCGGGCTGCCAAACAGACTCCAGCACAGTATCTGTCCCAACACGAACACCTCCTGCTCAGCACCAGCGCCCCGTCTCCAGCCGACTCCTCTGAACTCCTGCTGGACCCCAACGACAGCAGCAAACGACACAGTCCCAGCCGGTATGAAGAGTGCACGCAAACATGCTCTGAGAAATAACACCCACAAATTAAGAGCCATGGCAGAACTACATTAGTAGTTATGGGACCGTTCCAGATACTACTATACTTGTATATATTCACATGCACTATTTTACATAGTATTGCAATAGCACGAGACAAAAAATGTTGGTATTTTTATGGTACCATGAACAAAAAACATTTTATGCTATGGTGCATGAAAAAAAAAATTGTATTTCTATGATCCAATGTCCAAAAAACATGGTATGACCGTGATAATTTTTTGTAAGTGTAACTCACTGTAACAAATTTGGTGTAGTAACAATATTTGCTCAGAAATTGCAACAGTATTGCACACGCAAACATGATCTGAGAAATAAGACCTAACAATAAAGAGCCATGGCAGAACTACATTGAATTGCTTCCTAACACAGAAATGTTATTTTGGGTGAACTATACACAATACATATTGTCAGTGTCCACGATAAAAATTATTGCATTTTTGTATTGTGATATATTGTGACACAATATATATAAACAGATAGTACAATATTTTATAATGCATTTTAATGTTTATTCACATGCCATGATGTTTACGTAGTACTGCGAGGTATCTCAAAAATACCGTGGTATTACTGTGACAAGATGGCGCATAAGAAAATGTGGAATTACTGTCTAAAATAAAAGTAAAAAAAAATAAATAAACTGGTATTTCCATTAGACAATGTCCAAAAAAACATGGTATGACCAAAAAAAATTGGTGTAGAAACAAGTTTTTGCTTAGAAATGGCTAGTAAATTTAACAATTTTAAGTAAATGGACTGAAATAGTATTTTCTTGAAAAACCTAGTCTTTGCTTTATTTACAACTTTGAAAAATCATTTAAGCTATGTTATAAGATAACATAATAGTTTAATATATGTGGTTATTCACATGCCATGATGGTGTGATATCATACCATGATATTAGTGACAATAAAATATGATCCACAAAACACGGTATTTCCATGGTGCTATCTACTATGACAAAAAAACAAACATTTTAATGCCATTCATAAGAAAATGTGAACATTTCCATGGTACAATATCCAAAAAACATTTGTTTAAAAAAAAAAAGTTTTTTTAAAGAAAACATTATTTCAGTCTTTAAACTGAATGTTAGACACAATGTTATATTTAATTCAATGTGTACCTGCCATTTCTTTGTAATTATTAGTGAAATTTAATAGCACTTTCTAAGCATTTATCATCGTGCTTTGCAATTTAACATGATGGAACTGAATGGTTAACTTACACCATGGTATTTACCGCAAGGTACTTCAACAAAAGACCCTGGTATTGTCATCGTACAGGTCCAAAAACCATAGTGCCTTTCTAAATGTTCTTACGTGTTATTATCTCCAGAAGTAAAGAGAATGGCTTTCACGATCGGCCTCCCGCCTCCCTGGAACCTCCTGCCAAACGGATCTGCACCATTAGCCCCGCCCCCAGACATAGCCCCGCCCACCCACTCCATCTCCCCGCCCAGATCCACCCGACTCCGCCCCCTCTGCAACACTACGCGCTGGATGACATCAGCACACCTCAGCTGTACCGAGAGCCTCACCGAATCCTGGAGCTGAGGGAGCTGAAGGACAGGCCACGACTGCCAGGTACTTACTCATCCTTCCCTGTGTGTGTTTATCAGAGGACCTCAGGACTTTTGTCACGCTTGAACCACTAATACACACACACACAAAAATGTAATGGATACAAATCCTTCCCTCACGGGTCAATTTGACCCCCATTGGAATGAATGGAATGCAAGGAATGGTTCAGTACACAGAAAAATGCTCAAAGTTCTAACTAAAAATGCTACAATTTTTACCAAAATATTATTTTATAATGTCTACATATGTATCTCAATGCATACTGAATGAAGTGACTTTAGGACCCAGCGGGAAGTGAACGGCTCATTTGCTCCATATAGCTATAAGGCAATCTAGAGTCATGTTCAATCAAATATCATGTTATATTATTTTTATTCCACAAGAGGTCGGCAAAGACAGCCAATGTAAGATATTTTGAGTTAAATTAAAAGGTTTATGCATGAAATTGTGCGTATTTTGAATTTAAGTTGAAAGAATGTGTTTAAATTACTATTTATATAAATATATATATATTTGTATATATTATTTATTGATCAAATCTAGTAATTTAAAGGTAAATAAAATAAAAAATAACAGAAAATCAAAAAAGAAATTGCATTTAAAAAATAGAAAAATATTATCAAAATTAAATCAAATAAGCTTTCTGGACAACAAAAAATAATTTTGACCCGTGTGGAAGGATTTGTTAATAAACGCGAGAGAAAGATGAGGGTTTTAAACTACTAGTAAATCTCTGATGTGTTTTTGTGGTCGTTTCCAGGCAGTAACGGAGGCTATCGCGAGGAGCCTGTCGACCACAGACTGACGGAAAGAGAGTGGGCTGAGGAATGGAGACATCTGGATCATGTGAGATTGCATTTATTAATAATTCTTAAAAAAAAAAGGTACTGTGCCGACAGCATGGTAAAGTAGTGGTATTAGAAGGTGAATCTCACAAAACCTGTCAAAAATGGGTCGGCTTTGTATTTCACTTGAAAATCGGGAATAAAATATTTTTTTTTATTATCATTTATCCTCTATTATGGTATTTATTCAGCTTTATATATATATATACTATTTGGTCAGATTTAGTGTAAGCTTTAATAATAATAATTTTGTTATGTGATTTTTTTTTTAATTAGTTTTTGTTTTAATAATTCTATTTAGCTGTAATTAATTTATATTTTAGTTTTAGTAATTAAATGTATTTCATGTTTCAGCTTCAATCAATAAAGAACGTTTGAATAATTTTAGTTAGTAATAACACTGATTTAACACTGAAGAAAATAAGCATATTTTACTGTTTTTGCATTGAAAAATAATTAAAAAATTAAGAACATTCTCCAGTGAAACTCATTATTGTAATGCTATCTCATTCTCAATACTTTAATGCAACAATGTAAATAATTCAAAGAATTTATACATAATGACTTTAAATATGTGATTATTTAAATAAGTAAGTTTTTACAGTACTGATAATTTAATCAGAATCATGAGGATAAGAAACAAACTCAAAAACAAAACATGCAATAATTGCAGTTTTTTCATTTGTGAGATTCACCCAGTAATACCATGGTAAAATAAAATAATAATCATTAGCATATATATATATATATATATATATATATATATATATATATATATATATATACACACAGTAGTGAATATTTGAGGTGGATCAAAATCTTTCATCAAAGTTATACATGAATTTTGAACAATACTCCTCATTCTAGTCTTAGGACAACTTTAAACTTTTTTGATCCACTTCAAATGTTGACTCCTGTGTGAATATATATATATATGTATATATTTATACACACCACACACACACTTCATGTACTGTATTAAATGTCTCTGTCATCTGTGTGGTTGTAGGTGCTGAATTGCATTGTGGACATGGTGGAGAAAACGCGTCGTTCGGTGAGCGTTCTGCGGCGCTGTCAGGAGTCGGACCGCGAGGAACTCAATTACTGGAGGAGACGCTCAAACCCGCACGACGACGCACGCAAGAACGGGACGACATCAGGGAACGCCCCCTTCAACAAAACACACAGTCCTCTGTCGGCAGAGGGAGTCAACGCAGGTGAGCCGTTTAGTGTTCAGAATCATTTAGAGCGCAAACTGGTTGAACTTTTGTCTTTTTTGTTGCTGACATTTCAAAGCACAGCCAGACTTTCAGAGACGCATTTCAAATTAGGTCATTTCACAGAGTTTGAGGACATTTTACAGAGCTTAAAGAAGTAGTTCACTTCTGAATTAAAATTTCCTGATAATTTACTCACCCCCAAAGAAATTAAGGTTTTTGATGAAAACATTCCAGGATTTTCTCCATATAATGGACTTCAATGGGAACCAAACGGTTCAAGGACCAAATGAGAGTTTCAGTGCTGCTTCAAAGGGCTTTAAACAATTTCAGATGATGAATAAGGGTCTTATCTAGCGAAAAGATTGATCATTTAAAAAATAAATAAAAAAGTTTAAGTTTTATAAGCTCAAATGCTCGCCTTGCTCTGTTCTGTGATGAACAGAATGAACAAATCTTTTTTCGAGTCATGACTCGAAGGGTCCTAGATAAGACCCTTATTCATCGTCTGGAATTTTTTAAAGCCCTTTGAAGCTGCACTGAAACTCTCTTTTGGACCTTGAACCGTTTGGTTCCCAATGAAGTCCATTATATGGAGAAAAATCCTGGAATGTTTTCATCAAAAACCTTAATTTCTTTTCAACTGAAGAAAGAAAGACATGGACATCTTGGATGACATGGGGGTGAGTAAATTATCAGCAAAAGTTTTTTTAAAAGAGAGCTACTCCTTTAAGGAAAACATTCCAGGGTTTTTCTCAATATAGTGACTTCAATGGGGTCCAACGGGTCGAAGGTCCAGATGTGAGTTTCAGTGCAGCTTCAAAGTCTCGACACGATCCCAGATGAGGAATAACAGTCTCATCTAGACAATCCATCAGACATTTTATAAAAAAAATTAAACATACTGTTTAACCACAAATGCTCATCTTGCACTAGCTGGGATGCGACACACATTACGTAATCACGTTGAAAGGTCAAGCGTGGCGTAGTAGGATGTACCGACCCAGTGTTCAAAAATATTTAAACATCCAGGATACGAAAGGACCATTTTAAAAAATAAACTAACATTCAACACAACAACTTTTGAATGGTCTTTCTCCACACTTGTAAACACTGGCTCGGTTCTTCCGCCCACGTCACACTTGACCTTTGAACCTGATTATGTAATCTGTGTCGCATCACATCTAGTGCAAGATGAGCATTTGTGGTTAAAAAGTATATAAATGTGTATTTTGTTTTAAGATTAAGACTTAAGAAGGAAGAAAGCTGCACTGAAACTCACATCTGGACCTTCGACCCGTTGGACCCCATTGAAGTCCATTATATGGAGAAACATCCTGGAACGTT